CTTCATAAGGGTTTTAAATTTTTTTAATATAATTAACTTGGACATTAAAAATAAATAAAATCAATGTGTATTTAAGAAAGAAAGGAGAGAGCGATGGAACTGCTACCTTTTGTGACAACATGGATGAAACTGGAGAATATTAAGCTAAGTGAAATAAGCCATTGATGAAAGACAAATACCATATGATCTCACCTATAAGTGGACTCTATTCAACAAAATAAACTAATGAACAAAGTAAACCACAGGCACAGAAACATGGAGCAGACTGAAAGTGACCAGAGGGGAGGGGGAAGGGACTAGGCAAAGAACATGTATGAATGACCCGTGGGCATGGACAACAGAGTGGGAATTGACTGTGGGAGTGGGGGGTGGGCGTGGGGTGGGTGGAGGGGGGTAAAGGGAGAAAACTTGAGACAACTGTGATAGAATAAACATGATTTATAAATTTAAAAAAATAAATAAAAGATATTAAAAAAGAACTAGTTCTAGATTTCAATGATCTTTCGTGTCTTTTAGACTCTTTTATTTATTTCTGCTCTGATCTTTATTATTTCCTTCCTTCTACTTTGGGCTTTAGGTTTTTTTTCCCCCTAGTTCCTTTAAGTGTAAATTTAGATTGTTTATTTACATTTGTTTAGGATTGTTTATTTATTTCTTGTTTCTTGAAGTAGACCTGTAATGCTAAGAATTTCCCTCTTAAGGCAGCTTTCACTGTGTTCCATAGATTTAGGGTTATCATGTTTTCATTTTCATTTGTTTTAAGGTATCTTTTGATTTCTTCTTTAATCTCATTGTTAACCCATTCATTGTTTAGTAACATGTCTTTGTGTGTGTTTTTTATTTCAGTTGTTTTTCTTGTGATTGATTCTAGTATCATACCATTATGGTCAGAACAGATGCTGGATATGATTTCAATAGTCTTAAACTTATTGAGATTTGTTTTGTGTCCTAACATGTGGTCTATCCTATAAAATGTTCCATATGCACTTAAAAAGAATGTATATGCTGCTGCTCTGGGATGAAATGCTCTGAATATATCAATGAAATCCATCTGATCTAGTGTGTCATTTAAGGCTGCTGTTTCCTTTCTGAGTTTCTGTCAGGAAGATCTATCGATTGGTGCTAATGCGGTATTAAAATTCCCTACTATGATTGTATTACTATTGATCTCTCCCTTTATGTCCATCAAGGTTTATTTTATATATTTAGGTGCTCATATGTTGGGTGCATAAATGTTTACAGGGGTCACATGCTCTTGCTGGATTGACCCCTTTAGCATTATGTAATGTCCTTCTTTGTCTCTTGTTATGGACTTTGCTTTGAATTCTACTTTGTCTGACATAAGTAAGCTACCCAGCTTTTTATCATTTTCATTTACATGAAATATCTTTTTCCATCCCTTTACTGTGTGTATCTTTTGTTTTGACATTGATCTCTAGTGAACAGCATAGATAGAGGTCTTGTTTTCTCATCCCTTCTGCTACCCTATGTCTTTTGATTGGAGCATTTAAGCCATTTACATTAAAGCAATTATTGATAGGTATGTGTCTATTGTCATTTTATTCTTTACAACTATGCCTTCTCCTCCTCTTCCTCCTCCTCCTTCTTCACCACCTTCTCTTCTTTTTCTTCTTCTCCTTCTCTTCCTCCTCCTCCTTCTTCTCCTTCCTTTTCCTTCTTCTTCTTAAGAAGACCCTTTAACATTTCTTGTTATACTTGTTTGGTGGTAATGAACTTCTTCAGCTTTTTCTTATCTGGGAATCTTCTTATTTCTCCTTCAATTTTAAATGATAGCCTTGCTGGATAAATTAGCCTTGGTTGTAGGCCCTTGCTTTTCATCACTTCATATATTTCATACCAATCCCCTCTGGCCCAAAATGTTTCTGTTGAGAAATCTGCTGACAGTCTTATGGGACCTCCCCTGTAAGTAATTCTCTTTCTCTTCGTGCTTTTAAGATTCTCTCTCTGTCCTTAATCTATGCCATTTTATTTATGATGTGTCTTGGCTTGGGCCTCTTTACGTTCACCCTGTTTGGGACTCTGTTCTTCCTGAACTTGTGTGTGTTTTTCTTTCACCAGATTAGAGAAGTTTTCAGGCATTATTTCTTCAAATAGGGTCTCAATTCCTTGCTCTCTTTAGTCTCTTTCTGATACTTCTATGATGAGAATGTTGTTACACTTCGTGTTGTCTCAAAGATCTCTTAAACCATCATTTTTAAATTTTTTTTCCTGCTCTGATTGGGTGTTTTCTACTACCTTATCTTCCAAATTGCTGATTTGATCCTCTGCTTCATCCAACCTACTGTTTATTCTTTCTAGTGTATTATTCATTTCAGATCTTGTATTCTTCATTTCTTACTGGTTCTTTTTTATGGTTTCTATGTCCCTTTTATGCTTACTATCTCTTTGTTGAAGTTCTCACTAAGTTCCTTGAGAATCCTTAAAACCATTCTTTTGAACCATGTCTGGTAAATTACTTGCCTCCATTTTATTTAGCTCTTTTTCTGGAGATTTCTCCTGTTCTTTCATTTGGGACTTGTTTCTTTGTCTCCCAATTTTGACTTCATCTTTGTATTTTGTTTCTATGTACTAGGTAGATCTGCTATGTCTCCCAGTCTTGGTAGGGTGATCTTATGTAGTAGGTGTCCCATGGGAGCCAGTGGTAGAGTTTCCTTGATTACCTGAGCTGGGTACTGCAGGAATATCCCTTGCATGGGTTATGTGGGCCCTCCTGTTGTAATTGAGTCTTGATTGCTATTGGCCTGTGAGTGTTGGGATGGTATGGGGGGGGGGTCAACCCTCAAGCTGTACAACTGAGAGGACTGATCCCAATCACAGTGTATAAGCTGCTGTAGAGATGCTGATCACATAAAGCAGAATTCACCTCAGCAGGGTCTAGTTCCTGCCAAGATCTCCCTTTTGATATGCCACTTGTGAAGCTAATTGGACCCTGCTCTGATGTTGTCTGAAGCTGGCCACTTTATTTGTTGATTCTGGGGCCTCTTGGGAGGGGCTTGGATTCAGGCCAATGTCAGATGCTGCCTGTGACTGACCCTGGACGACCTGTTTGGGGCTACAAAGCAATCCACAGTTTGTGGCTGCTCCTGCTGGGCCTGAGTATACATGGGAAGAACTAAGCTTTTATCAGCTCTTTTTAGGAGCAGGTCAGCAAAAGTCCCAATGCACCCTGAGACTTGCCTCTGCCTGCTGGCTGCCTCATAGGTTCAGTCATTGATAGAGCCTCTGGAGGTACTCAAGTTGCATGAGATAAGTTCTCAGTGAGTCACCAGATAGGGGTAAGTGGTGTTCACCAGACTTACAGGTTCAAACTCAGTGCCAATGCTGGGTCGGAAGCCACTCAGCAAATGTCTCAGGGTATATCAAGTCTAGCTACTCCCTGACAGGCACCTACAGGCCTTTGTGGTGGGAAAAGGTCTCAAGGAGTCATCAGAGTGAGATCAGCAGTTTATCAGACCAAGATTTAGCCATGTGAAGGGAGGGCTCTGCACTGGTCAGCTATGTGAGGGAAAAATAAGCCCTGTCCTAGAGCCACACAACTCGGTTTGTCCAAGATTATTCCCAGACCACAGCAGCGCAGAGCAGCCAGGAGTTGAGAGGGTACGGCCACCTGGAGCCTGAAGGGTGGGACTAGAGGGTCCTCTGTGACAGGGAGGTGTCAGGCACATTCACCAGAAAGTGAGCGGAATAGCTCTTGTCCCAATGCTACACCACTCAGTCACTGACACCCCTTGAGTCTTCCCAGATGTCTACACCCCAGCCCAGGCAGCTGAATCCTCAGCAGGGCATGAGTTCTGCAGGGTGGGGTGACAGAAAGTCCAGATGGTGGGCTATTTCTTTCCCTCAAGTTGATGCTTTGAGGAGAGTGCTCTGCCCAAAAAGGATGGCATCCACAGTGTGGAAGATAGACTCAGCATAGGGGTTCTGGCAGCTGTCCCCTCAACTCCCTCCCCAGTGCTACAAACCCCAGCCTCTCCTCATACAACTCCAGTCTGCTTCACTCTCCCTCTGCCAGAACCCAGAGTGAGTAGCTGTCAACAAGATTTTACACTTAAGCCTGTTAAGAGGGTATGTGTGTCTCTAGCAGACTCATATGTCTCCTCGACAGACAGGATCTGCATTGATTTTCACAGCCAATGTTTATGTGGGCACCTCTTTCTGGCTCTGGTGCTCTGGGCTGGGGAGCTCAGTGTGGAGTTGAGACCCTATGCTCCCCAGGAGGAACCTTTGTAACTGAGATATCCCTCCCAAATCTCAGCTGCCACCTGTTGGAGTGCGTCCAGCCCTTTCCATGTCTCCACCCTTCCTACCAGTTTTGATGTGGCTTCTTCTGTATATCCTTAGTTAAAAGATTTCTACTGTTTATTGGTATTTCCTGATGCAACTCAAAAAAAATTCTTTCTCTCAAATTTGTATCTTGGGTTTGCTTCTGGGAGAATCCAAACATCAGGAAATATACCCTAAAAATTATCTTTACCCATACACAAAAATGGCACATTCAAATTATTAATTCACCACTGTTTTAATCACAGGAGATTGGAAACAATATCTCAAAAGGAGATTGACTGAATACATTATGATTCACCCACACAATGAAATGCTATGGAGCTGCATAAAAGAATGAAAATACACGTTACGTCTTTATGAAACAGTGTCTGAGCTATAGTAATGAAAAAAGCAAGATGCAGAACAGTATAAAAAAATGTGTGCTATCACTTGCATAAAAAGCTTGTGTGTGTGTTTGCAAATGCCTAAAGTCTTTGTGTAGGAGACCTGAAAACACATAGACTTGACTACCCTTTAGAAATGACTTAAATGACTGGGGCAACCAGGATAGAAGGGAGACTTTTCACCACATGCCCTTGCACATCTTTTGATTTTTGTACTATGAACAGGTTTCATAGTACAAAAAATGATAGTAACATTAAAATAATAAATAAATGAACAGGTGAAGGGAAGTGTATCATTGCTTAATGGACATATTTAGCTCTAGTGTGGAATGGGTTTGGACAGGCTCCTATTGTCTGACTGGATCCTCATTCCAGCATGGCTTCTACATACAGTGTTGGTCCCAGGTGTACAGGTTTCTGCAGGTCTGTGTGCTCACCCACAAAGGGAGTTCTCACATCCTTCAGCAGGGATGGGATCTTTTGCTTTCCCTTTAAGTTCACCCACAAGAGCTGCCATCACCTCTGTCCTGGAGGAAGGCTGAACGGCACCTTCACTCACACACAAGCAAGTCCAAGCAATTCCCTGTGCCTGAGAGCATCTGCTGAAGCTACCTGTCCCCCTATACAAGAGACATCTGAGTCACACACACAACCCACATACACTCACAGGCACACTTGTATGCACACATGAATGGAAATGAAAACCTAAGCAGGTCTTTCCTGAGTGAGACATCACCACCCCAGCCTCCTACTGGACAGACGTGTCTGTCTAGCAGCCTGCATGTTGGTATAACCAAGGTCCTGCTTGCTTCAGGAGAGGGCACTCCATGGAGGAGGAACTGCTACTGGGGCGGGGCAGCTTCTGGAGCAGCTTCACTCATCATGTCCTTGTACTGCCGTTTGAAGAAGCCGAGCTGTGGGGGCAGGGACAGAGGCGTAAAGACCACCGAAGCCAGGGGGGTGAATCCAGGGTCATGCAGACCATGAGGAGGAGACAGACAGAGCAAGAGATACAAAAAATAAGATGGCAGAGTGTTGAAGGGACCTGGGGAAAATGGAGCAGGGAGGGAGATGGCATCAATGTTGGGGCCAGGAAAGAAAGAAATATAAATGGGAAGAGGAGGAGGAGGAGGAGGGGAAAGGAAAAGAGGAAAAGAAGGAGGAGGAGGAGGAGGAAGAAGGGAAAGGGAGAAGGGAGAAAGAAGAAAGAAGGAAGAAGGAAGGAGAAGAAGAACTGGTCACTCTGTACCAGGGAGCACTCTAAGTGCTCTGCATATATTAACTGAATTACCTTCACAAAATGGGTATTTATATTCTCATTTTACAGCTGAAGAAACCGAGGCTTTGTGACTTGCCACAGGTCACAAAGCTGGCAGCACTGCTGGGAGTCAAGTCCAGTAATGAAGCTGCTGAATGAGAAGCAGTGAGGGGGACAAGGGCAGAGGTGGGAAGAGAGCCTCTAGTGAGTACCTTGTACAGTCCAGCGGTGATGAGGGCCAGGAGCACCAGCCCCCCAACAGAGCTGCCCACGATAAGCGGTACAGGGTCATGCACTTTATATGGCTCCACTTTGGTCTCCATCTGGATCCGGGAGAGGGGAAGAGGGGTGTATCAGGAGACACAGGCTCTGGATTTCTGGAGGTTCCCCAGCCAGTCTTTGCGCACACTCTGAACCTAATAACTAACCTCTCCGTATGCCCCCAACCTTAGCCCTCGCTCCCCTCTCCTTTTCCCCACCTCTCTCAATCTCTCTCTCTTTACCCAGACATCTGCACAATCCCAGCCTACCCTCCTCCTTCCAATAGTCCCTCTGTGCCCAAGACCAATACCTGGGCTCTCACAAATGCCCCCTGTCCTGGAAGCAGGGTATACACTGAGTCATTAAAAAAGATCTCTGCTGTGCTCACAACCTGGAGGTAGTTATGTGAAGTCTGTGGGAGAGAGAGGGTGGGAGCTTGAACCATGTGCCCCCTGCAGGATCATGTCTTGGCTGGCTGAGCCTCAGAGCCCCACATACTTTGATATACCAATCAAACAAGAGGTTGCCTTTGAGGGTGACGTTGAATTCTTCGTGGCTGCTGAAGGACTGGATGTCACACTGGATCCTCTGACACACAGCAATGGAGCAGTTCTGCGGAAGGGAGGCGAGAGGAGTCACGACTGAGAATGCTAGCTGCAGAAAACACTCCATGCACTCCACCCACTCAGCTGAGAGGCAGTATTGGGGACCAACAAGGGGACGGTGTTGAGTCTGCATGTAGTCCTGAAGCTGCCGTTACACTTATTCTTACCAGCACTGGGGTCTTCTTAAGCCCAGCCAGGAAGTCAGACTGAGGGGGGACCCTCTCTTCAGTGTGGCAGGCACTGGATAGATTCTGAAGAAAGAGAGACATTACAGAGAGAGAGAAATGAAATCTCCTGGGTCCACCCTGAGGGAAGGTGAGAAGTCCTAGGTCCAGGAGAGGGTCAGAAATAGCTCCAAATTCCAGATTTTAGGAAAGACATGTGAAAGGAAGAGCTGAGCCTACTCCTCAGGCCCAGCAGGGCTTACCTGGGAGAAGATGACCTGAGGTTGATCCCACACGGTCACCTTGTTCAGCTGGATGGGGATCCAGAAGACCACACTGATGGGGAGGCTCCTCTGCCCCAGGTTGCTGAACTGCAAGGTGTGGGTGGGGGCTGGGTATCAGGGCTCTGGCCTTTCTGCAGCTACAATCAGCCTCCCACTCCTGACAATCTAGGACACCTGAGTAAGGCCTCACAGACCCAGGTGCCCTGCCACTTGATGCTTTCTGGGAGGCAGTCAACTGTGGCAGTTAAACATATGTTCAACAGCCAGACAGTCTGGTCCTAAGTAGTGGCTCATCCACTCACTGGTGGTGACTGTGGGCAATTTTTAAATATCTCTGAGCCTGTTTCTTTATCTGTAGATGGGATAATGACAATGCCTCTGCCACAGAGTCATTATGAAGATAAACTGAGTGAATGTACAGGTTCTGCAACCTCGGATTAAACCAGGTGCTCATTGAAGATATTCAGGAAAAAATGTTACATTGTTGCTGATGTGTACTATGTAGTTAGGCCTATAATGGTTGCCTGACATGCGCAGACTTTTTTTTCTTACCTTTACTCCCTAAACAAGACAAATGTAATACATTTACATTGTATTGGGTATAATAAGTAATCTAGAGATGGTTTCAAGTATACAGGAAGATGTGCACAGGTTATATGTAAATATTATACAATACCATTGTATCTCAGGGACTTCAGCATTCACAGATTTTGGTAATAGGGGAGAGTCCTGGAACTAATCCCCCATGGGTACCATGGTATGACTGTATGCACATATGTGTGTGCATGCTTGTGTGTATAGAGAGCAAGCTTGGAACAGAACCCTTCACATAAGAGGCACCTGATGCATGCTTCCCATCAGTTTCTGCATTCCAGCACATTGGTTTCCCTTCCCAGCCTTCTCAGCTCCCCACCTGATATTGATGCTTTATAACATGGCTGGTCTTCTCTGAAGCTGTGAAGTTGAGATATTTGGTGGAGTCCTCACGTCTGAAGGTAGAAAGGAAAAGGGGCAGGAGGTGACAGAACATCAGGAGTGTTCTGGAGGAGAGGTCTCAGGCTAAGACACATGGGCAATGCAGCCCTGAGAGGGTGCAAGCAATGTGTGTTCCAGTTTGGGCCACACACACATATGCACAAATACATACACACATATGCACATATATCCTCAGATACACACAGGCACACGTGCACAGACTCACACACACAGATACACAGTAGGCCATGTCCAGCCGCATAGTGAAGGCAAAGGTAAAGCCCTAAAAGCCGGCACCTGGTGACCACTGTGTAGACAGTGTATTTCACAGGCAGCTCCAGCTGGAATTCAGTTTTGTTGGTCCTCCGCATGTTGTTCTCACTGAAGGGAAACAGGGAGCTCTTTCATTCTCCATCTCCTCCTCCCTCCACCTCAAACCAACCACCAGGTTCTGTTCTTTGTGCATCCTAAACACCATTATTTTCTACTCGCTGCCTCTACCTAATCTAGACCCATCCCTACTCACTCGGGTGTCTGCGATGCCTTCTTCTCACTGGTGCCTGAATTCAAAACTGACCCCACCCAAAATCCCAGACCTCCTGGAGAGCGATTTTTCTACCATGCAAATGTGATCATGTCACTCCCAGGTTAAACTGCAAATTTCCTAATAGCACCCATCAGTCAGTTTATGACACTGCCAATATCTCACCAACTCCTTAAATCCTACATCATGTGCTCAGGCCACACTTAAACACAGTCTGATCTTTCCAGTCTCCAGGCTTTGCTTGGTACTCTTCCTTTATTATGCCCTCTTGCGTACCCTCAATGTATGCCTTTATTTGGCTAACTCGCAGCCTAAACACATCTTTTTCAGGAATCTCCTCTGAACACCAAGATCTCAGGAATACAGAACATAGTATATTTCATGCTGTATTGTGATTGTCAGCTTTCCTGTCTATCTTTGCCACTAAATTACAACCTCTGTGAGGACAATAACCATGGTTGTCTTGTCCATCTATGTCCCATTAGTACTGGGCACAATGTCTGGCACATGTGAGTGTTCATTCAGTGGTTACTGAATGAATGAACCAAAGGAAGAACCAGTGGGGAGAGGGCAGTGGTTCACCCTGGGCAAAGGGTTGTCACCACAAAGTGGAGAATACCTGCGGGAAGCCAAGCACAGCATACCTGCTCACATTGGCCCTGAGAAGTAGTCTGTTTCCAAGGAAAGCATTAGAGTCCACGTCCAATGTAATATTAAAGGTGACCTGGAGTTGGAGAAAGGAGAGACTAACAAGAATAGGAGAAAATATTCATTGTTCATTAACTGAAGAATGAATAAATAAAATGTGGTGCATCCATAACACAGAATATTACTCAGCAATAAAAAAGGAATGAAGTTCTGCAATATGGATGAACCTTGAAAACATGATGCTGAGTAAAAAGCCAAACACAAAGGACCACACACTATATGATTCCATTTATATGAAATATTCAGAATAGGTGACTCTAGAGACAGAAAGTAGGTATGTGGTTGCCTAGGACTGGGAGAAATAGGAGGACTGGGGTTGATGACTAGGAGGAGCAGGGTCATTTCTTGGGGTAAGAAAATATTCTAAAATTGATCGTGGTAATGAATGCACAACTCTGTGAACAACGTAAGAGCTACTGAATTTGTATACTTTAAATGGGTAGATTTTGTGGCATGTGAATTATATTTAAATAAAGCTCTTTTCTTAAAAAAAAAAAAAAAAAAGGAAACTCTACTTAAAAGATGACAAAAGAAAAAAGGTGAGGAGTCCTCAGCCTGACCTCTGAGTTGCCTGGGAAGAGGGGGCGGTTTATGTTGCAGGTGCTGCCATGCAAGGTCTCAGGACCTTTAGTGGAAGCATAAGACTCGCAGGTCACATGCCAGGATCGCCATGACTGCTTGTTCTAGAAGGCAAGGGAAGCCAAGATGGGGATGTAAACCACAAGCCATGGGGACCAGGAAAGCAAAGTCACATGGAGTCTGAGAAAAATTTGGCTACCTGGAACACTGACACTGTCCGATAAGACAAGCCAGGTGGGTAGAAGAAGGCGACCACAGTACTGTAGGAGTCCTCGCCTTGGTTTCTCACAGTCAGAGTCACGTTGAAGTCCCGGGGACCACCTACCACCAGGGTGTCCAGGCTGTCGGGGGAACAAGCCAGGATATGAAATGCTGAGGACTTCCCTGTGAGAAGTCTGCTCTGGTGGGAAGGAAGCATGGACACTTGGAGAGAGAAGACAGTGGGTGGGGCAGACACCCAAACACCTCCAAAGCAGCTGCTCTGTGCCATGCTGGGCTCCTTCAGGGGCAAGGAGAATATCAGGGTACCAGGTCTTGGTGTAGGCTTGGAGGTAACAATGAGGAAATGGCACTCACTTCATAAAATTGAAGGTGATGCTGAGGTCATCCTGACAGATGTTGTCATTGCCACAATTCTTCTCAAAGGGAAACTGCAAAAAAAAAAAGAATATAATAAAATGTAACGAAAGGAAATAATGAAATGATGTCAAATATGACAATAAAATAAAATATTGAAATAAAATTATTTGAAATAAAATAACATGAGTTTCAACAGTCTTGGCCTCTGGTCCCGTCCATGCCCCTGCAAGACTCACCAAGGCTGTGAAGAGTCTCTGGGCATCCACAGCTAGCACTGGCCGGAGGTTCCCAAAGGAGGACAAAGGCTGCCCCACCAGAGAGAAGTTGAGGCGCAGGGTGATGGGGGTCACTGATTCCTCTACACAAGTCTGAGAGATAGCGGTGGTTTGAGGGGTCTGCCTTCTCAGCTTCCCAAGCCCACCCCGTGCTTGGAGGACCCAGGAGTGTGGCTACCGCCAGCTCACCGGTAACTGTAACTTCAGTGTCTCACATTTCTGATTCAGCCTCAACATCTGTGTCTGTCTGCGTGTGCTGTTCTTTGTCTCATCAAAAATGGCCCGAGGATGTCGGCGACCTGGGTCCAGAGCCAGGTCATATGTGATGATGCTCTGGATCTCTCCTGAAGGGGCAGGGCATCACAGTGGTGAGAAGTCTGGCTTTGGAGTCAGGCAGGCGGGAGTTTGAGGCCCAGCTCCTCTGCCCATAGCTGTATGACTTTGGGCAGATAACACCTCTCTGAGTCTCAATATCTTATTTTTAAGTTGAAGGCAATAGTTGTACCTTCCCAGTAGTGAAAATGAAATGAAATGGTGTCTATAGAGCACTTAGCACAGTGCCACATATAAGTGCTCAATAAATGGTAGCTATCCTGTTATATACTGGAAAATTAAGTGTAATTTTTCTGACTGCTTTTAACTTTTTTTCTTTGTCTTTGGTCTTCAGCAGTTTGTGCTTTGGTATAGTACAATGTATAATGTATGTACACCAGTGTAATATACTATGGTATGTTTTTCTTTATATTTATCCTGCTCTGATTTGGTAGAGAATCTTGTCTTTCGTCTGTTTTAGAAAATCCTTTGCCATTATTTCTTTAACTGTTCCTTCTTTCTTATTCTCTCCCTCCCTCTCTCTCTTCCTTTTGAAATTCCAATGACATGTTTATTAGATTTTTTTTTTACCATGTCCCATATGTCTCTAATAGTTTCTTTGTATAGTTTTCATCTTTTTCTCTCTGTATGTTAATCTGGATGTTTTAAATTGCTTTACCTTCCGGTTCTCTAATTTTCTGTTCTGCTTCTAAACTGCTATTAAATCTATTTATTGAAATCCTAATTTCAGCTAGCGTGTTTTTCAGTGCTAGAGTTTCCATTTGACTCTATTTTATGAATTTTAAGTCTTTTCTGAAGTTCCCCATCATTTCTTCTTTTTTCTTGAAGATACTAATTGGAGTTATTTTTAAAATTCCTATATGATAACACCAATTTATGAAGCACTCGTGGGTCTTTTTTTAATTGTCTATTGTTTCTCCTGGTTGCTGGACTCAATGGACATTGTCCCAATAGAAAGACTAAGTTGTTGACAAAGACCCCTCCCAATTCTCTTTCCCCGGCAATGGGGAGCTGCTGAATTTCTGTTCAACTCTTTAGCTCTCCAGTTGCTGTCCTCTACTGTTCCTTGGAGTATTTGCTTGCACATGCATGGCTTAGGAGTCAGTCAATGCCTTAAGAGTGATTTCTGTGTAAATTTGGGGGTCCTTTCTCTGCAATCCTCTACACGCCAGGACTTGGCCCTCAAGCTCTATCCATGCTGGCTGCCCCAAATTCTAACTGCTGTTTCCTCAGCCCAGTAAGATTACTGCTTGAAACTTACTTTTATGACCTCCCCCTATTTCTCTCTAGTGCCACCACTACTATTCCTCTATCCCAAGCACAATGTCACTCCTTAAAAGTAGAAACAAAGGAAGAAGGCAAGTTTGTTGTGATAAAATGCATGTCTGAATGCTTAGCGAATTTGTGTTTAGCTTCATCAATGCCAACTCCCCTTTAAATGAGTTCTCAGTTAAAAAAAAAATTCCCAGTTAATTCACAGGTGTGGGCCCTTGGTTATCTAGAGAACTGAAGAGAGTAAGGGGAATTTTACATGGGCAATAAATTGGAGCCTGTGAGCACTTTGCTCTGAACTGCCAAAAAGGCTGAGAAGGCTGGGTTACCTATTAATGTCCCCAGTCACTTAACCTGTTGTTATTTACCCCCCAGCCTCACCTTCTCTCAGCCGGTCCTTTGTATTCTTGTGTACATGGAGGCAGACTCTGACCTCCCCAGCATTCTGGCCTCTCACCACATGTTCTCGACACTCAAATGCATTCCTTGCCAATTCCTTGGGTGTAAAGTCCATGGTCACATCAACACTCAGCACAGGCTGGGATCTGTAGAGACACCAAAGGACCATCAAGGGTCTTCAGACAGCGAAGCTGCTCCTTAAAGGGAAGATAACCTAGTGTGCTCAGAAAGAGTTTCTCACCTGAGCAGCAGCACATGTCCCTGGGCCCCTACAGCCAGGTCCACCAATCCATCCATTGTGAGGTCCTTACCCCCACTCAGTGACTGACCAAAATACTGGAGCTTGAGGGACAGCTGGGAGCCTAGAATTCGCTGGGAGTAGAAAAGAGGAGGGGAGAAGGGGAATGGGAAAGAAAGAAAAGTAACTCAGTTGCCTTGAGGGTGACTCAAGGAGAGACTGTCTGGGCTCCAGTCAAGTCTCATTTCCCACAATTTTTCAAGAATTAGGTGAAGTATTCAACTTTAGGCCATAGTCTTGAGGTGGCATCCAAAGTTTCCATTAATTACCTGAGTTTTTGAGAGAAAATAAATAATTTACAGGAAAGAAGTGGCATAGCATAAGCATACAATTTGATTCAGCTGAATCTCATTTACATGGTCAGGATAGTGCAAACACTGATATTGATCTAACCAAAATTATCACATAAATGTAAGGAGTGTGGGGAGGGGTAGAAGGCATGTGAATATGTGGCAAAAGGGGTCTGAAAGGGCTCAGTCTTCACCTCCCATGGTAAGAATTCAATGCATAACAAAAATCAAGAAGCAGCAAAATAATCATGTCAAGAAGAGTCACCGAAAGAGCTAAAGGTGGTTCCTAAAGACAAGGGGAAATAAAGAGGAAAACATAGTCCAGGTGTGGAAATTGCTGTTTTCATAATCAGCCTTTAAAAACAAGTTTCACTCTCTGGTCTATGTGTAAGAGTAACACTGACTGACTAACAGCAAAATAAAAAGAAATTTTGTGTCTTTGTCATGTACTTAATGCCCACCGAACTACCCACTTTAAAATGGTTAAAATGGTGAATTTTATGTCATGTCTATTTACCATGATTTTTAAAGTGATTTTGTCAATTGAAAGGAGGCATGAGATGCTGGAAATTCACTATATCTTAATCTTAAGTGGTGCTTATTTCGGTTCATAGATATGTAAAAATTCATCACGTAAAATTTGTGTGTTTAGGGCATGTACGTGTAACTCAAATTTTTTTTTAGCAAAAATTATTGTATTTTGTTGGCATGAAGTTTTGTTTTGAAAATATGTATAATGTATAAATTGGGAAATCCACAGCCTATTTGCTTGTCCAAACATTGAGCACCCCCTCCCTGCCCCAATCAAGTAAAAAATGCAAACAGTAGAACAATAGGTTTGCATGATCCTTTTTGCATTTGTTTTTAATTCCAGAGTCTGTGAGGTGTGCATGCATACGAGCATGCATGCGGACACATAAAGTACCCTACCCTTAACCTTATTTTCCTTTGTGGGGTAAGTTATGTACAGATAAGGGGAAGTAGGGCTTTCACTCTTCACTTTAGATTTATAAATTTTTACAAGCATGTAAAGCTTTTGTAACAAAAATAAAATAAAATCAGAGCCTTCGAACTCTATTTACAGAGAGAAGCAGCAGGCTCCAGTGAAAGGGGCATAATTATAATATTCACACAATTGTGAAAGGAGAGAAATAGGTAAGGCAGTGGTTTTTAGCCCTGGCTACAACTAAAGATCCTGTAAAAAAAAAAAAAAAAAAAAATACTGGGCCTATATAGTTCTAGAATGGGCAAATCTATCTGTGGTAGAAAATAATCAGGATAATATTTTCTTCTGGAATGAAATGGGGTCAGAAATTGGGAAGGAGCAGGAGGGAACTTTCTGGAGTGATAATGATGTGCTGTTATCTTGATAGGAGGGGGAGTTGCAACATGTGTATGCATTTGTCAAAAATCATTGAATCACTAAAGATTTATTCATTTTCTGTTTCTAAATTTTATCTTAAAAATAACAGTAAACAAATAGTGAATTCTAGGTAATGATGTACATGCTGAAATATTTGCAGGTGATGTGGACTGATGTTGCAACTTACTTTGAAATGCATTAAAAATAAGAGAGACTATAGAAAAAGAATGGACATGTGATCAAGTAAGTCTAGGAAAATGTTCATTATAGTTTCTAGGTTGTAATTATATGGGTGTTCACTGTTCAATTGTTTCAAATTTGCTTATAAATTTGAAAATTTTCTAAAATTCCTGAGAGAGGAGCCCTGTGTGACTGCACAAGTCACAACTCCATGAAGCGTGCAGCCCTGGCAGGATGACCAACTGTAGGGGTTTCCTCAGGTACGAAGACTTTTCAGTCTAAAACCAGGGCTGTTGGTTACCTTACCAAGACTAAGATTCAGAAGAAAAGAAATGCCTGCATCCCTACACTTCCAGCTTGCCATTTATCACTCCTACGCCTAATCTCATTTGTATAGTGCAGGTGTTGGTGTCCCCATGCACCTCCTGTAGTTAAGTGGTAAGAATTAATCTAGAATTGAGGAGTTTTTGAGGTTTATGTGAAGTGTGTTATTATTTTTAAAGGTTCTGAAAGGAGTAATGGGAGAACTAGTCTGGCAGCTGTGGGAACATTGAATTAGAAAGGGATGGGTCAGTAAAGAGGTTACTGTCATGACAGGGACAGTGACGGGGCCTCACCTGGCTGTGGGAGGGGCTGATGCCCAGTCCCGAGCTTCCATGAAACAGGTAGACAGCACCCTGGTTCTCCTCTTCTCCCGGGGCCCCGATGGCCACGTCCGTCAGCTTGTCCCCATTCACGTCCCCCAGCACGGTCAGGGCTGCCCCGAAGCGTCCCCAGGGGTGGCCCTGCTCCCCTCGGAGAGTGACCTCACACCGCCACCTCGCTCTCTGCAGAACAAATCCCATGCGAGTCCCTGGCCTGGGCAACTCCCAGGCTCCCCCCACACCCAGGCCCACCCAGCCCAGGCCTCCTTATCAGCTACTCACCCCCCGGGGCAAGGGGCACACAGACACCTGGCCCCCCCGGGTCAGCTCATAGTAATGGGGAGCCCCGATGAGAACCAGGTCGGAGCTGCCATCTCTGTCCACGTCCACGGAGCAGAGGGAGGCCCCAAAGTAGGAGCCAATCTGAAAGAGATGAGGCCGGGTTACATACCTCTTCCTACCTAAAGCAGAGTGTGGGAGTTTTCTCCCTATGAAGAAATATCATGCCTGCTGGTTAAAGTCCTTAGGAACGGATGTGATTCTCCATATGATTCATGATAAAATCTCATTTGAACATGCTGACATAGAGAGGAGCGTATTATAGAGTTAATCAGCAGCAGGTGAGGATTTTACCCCAAATGGTGTTGCAGGGAGGTTATTAAGATAGCAAAGAAGAAGTTGGATTGGAAACTACAGGCAGAAAAGCCTTGGAAGAGCAGACAGGATATCTTTTCAATACACTGGAAGTCTTTTGGGGGTGGGGTACAAAAATCAAAGTTGTCTGTCTGGCTAATAAGGAATCAACTGGCTTGGATTAAAAATAACTATTTGAAAGGATGCTCAGCATCACTAGCCATCAGGGAAATGCAGATCAAAACCACAATGAGGTACCACCTCACACCGGTCAGAATGGACATCATAAACAGATCCACAAACAACAGGTGCTGGCGAGGCTGTGGAGAAAAGGGAACCCTAGTACACTGTTGGTGGGAATGCAGACTGGGGCAGCCACTGTGGAAAGCAGTGTGGAATTTCCTCAAAAAGCTGAAAATGGAACTGCCTTTTGATCCAGTGATTCCCCTGCTGGGACTATACCCTAAGAACACCAAAACGCCAATACAAAAGAACCTATGCACCCCAATGTTCATAGCAGCACAATTTACAATAGCCAAGTGTTGGAAGCAACCTAAATGCCCATCAGTAGATGATTGGATCAAAAAATTATGGTACTTTTACACAATGGAATACTACACAACAGAAAGAAAAAAAGAACTACTAAACTTCGTGACAGCATGGATGGAACTCAAGAGCATTATGCTAAGCGAAATAAGCCAGGGGGCGAAAGACAAATACCATGTGATCTCACCTATAAGTGGAACCTAACCAACAATACAAAGATGCAAGGAAAATATGACCAGCAACACTGAAAGGAAAAGAAATCAACAGAGACAAGAGGGAAGGGGGGGGGGCAGGGAAAGGGAAGGGAAGGGGAAAGTCAAGGAACATATAGCAAGGACTCATGGATAAAACCAAAGGGGAAGAGCTGAGGGAGGGAAGGAGGGAGGGGGCAAGGGAAAGAGGTGGGGAGGAGGCAGAGACAAATGTATTTAAAAAAATAAAAAAATAAAATAACTATTGCTACAGGAATATTTTTGTGTGATGCTGAGAAATAATACCTATTTTTTAAAGGAACTTCAGAAGTATGTTAAGGAAACAAAACTACATTCAATGTCAATATGTAGAATTCACCCACAGGATGCATCAGTTTAGTCATTCATTCATTCATTCATTCATTCATTCATTCAACAGACAAGGGTCTGGAGACCCAGCCTTCCATGGTGCTCGGTGCAGCAGAGGGAATAGTAACAGATAAACAGGGAGATGTCTACAGCAACTTCAAACTGGGGCAAGATCTAGGAAGAAAAACTGCTGCGGGTGTCAAGACCTGGCTCACTGCACTCTGACTTCTGCCCCACACAACATTGAGAGAGGCCTCACTGACAGACCAACAAAAGCATTTGAGCTTCACGCTAAAGTCAATAGGATTTTTTTGTTTTTAGGTCATGTTTATTGGGGTATAATTTACTTACAATAAAATTCAGTATTTTTAGTGTAGTTTTAAGAGTTTTGACAAAACACATCCTCATGTAACCACCACCATGGTCAAAATACAGAATAGTTTCATTGCCCCCAAAATATTCTCTCATGCCTCACTGTAATCAACCTCTTCCTTCAATCAACAGCCCTTGGAAACCACTGATCTCTTTTCTGTCCCTACAGTTTTGCCTTTTCCAAAATGTCATAAATGGATTTACAGAGCATGTAGCCTTTTGGGTCTGGCTTGTTTCACTAGAATAATGCATCTAAGATTCATCCATGGTGCCCTGACAAGTGTGGTTCAGTTGGTTGGGCTTCATTCTACAAAGCAAAAGGTTCCTGGTTCAATTCTTGATCAGGGCACATGCCTGGGTTGCAGATTTGGTCCCAGGTTGGGAAGTATGCAGGACGAAGCTAATCGATGTTTCTCTCTCACATGGATGTTTCTTTCCCTCTCTCCCTCCCTTCTCCTCTCTCTAAAAATAAATAAATAAAATAATTTTAAAATGATTTTTAAAAAGATTTATCCATGGTATAGCATGTATCAGTAATCCTTTTTATTTCTGGTTAGTATTCCACTGCATGTACCACAGTTTGTTCAGCCATTCCCCAGTTGAGTGACACTGGTGTTGCCTCTAGTTTTAGGTGATTATGAATAGAGCCACTAGAGAAACATCCACACACAGGTTTTGATGTAAACATCGGTTCTTATTTCTCCTAGGTAAATAGTAAATACCTAAGAGAAGGATTACTGGTATGACAACTGTAAGATATTGACAAACTGTTTTCCAAAATAGGCATGCCATTTTCCATTCTGACAGCAATGTATGAGAGTTTTAGTTGCTATACATCCTTGGCAGTACTTGATATTGCCAGTTTTTTTTTTTTATGTCTACTATTCTAATACATGTGCAGCAGTATCTTAACTGCAATTTTAATTGCATTTCCTTAATACTTAATAGCATGGAACATGTGTTCATGTGCTTGTCTGCCATCCATATGTCTTTTTTGGTGAGGTGTCTGTTCAAATATTTTGCTTATTTTTTAGATTGCTTCTTCTTGTTGAACTTTAAGAATCCTTTATATATTCTAGATATGTCCTTTGTCAGATATGTAATAAAAAAGAAGGAAATTTACAAATATTTTATTCCAGTCTGTAGTTTATATGTTCATTCCCTAAACAGTGCTTTTCACAGAGCAAAAACTTCTCACTTTCATGAAGTCTTGTTTATCAATTTTTCCTTTATAGACCATGTTTATAGTGTTATATGTAAGAATCCTTTACATAACACAAGGTCATGAAGATGTCCTCCTATGATGTCTTCCACAAGTATTGTAGTTTTATTGTTTTTCAAGCAAAAGTTGAGGTTTATTTTTTTAGTCTTTAATTGTTTATGTTATTATGGTGTCCCAATTTTCCCCTTTGCCTCCCTCCCCCCAGTCCCACAATCAATTCCCACATCGTTTTTCATGTTCATGGGACACGCATATATGTCCTTTGTCTAATGTTTTTACCTTCTTTCAACCAGTTCTCACAACAACCCCATTCCCTCTTACAGGCAACAGTCTGTTCCATGTTTCTGTGCCTCTGACCTATTTTGCTGGTTCATTTATTTTGTTCTTTAGATTCCAGTCATAAGTGAGATAATATGGTATTTGTCTTTCACTGACTGGCTTATTTCACTTAATGTAATAGTCTCCAGTTCCATCCATGCTGTTACAAAAGAGACGAATTCTTTCTCTTTTACTGCTGCATAGTATTCCATTGTGTAAATGTATCACAGTTTTTTATCCACTCATCTATTGATGGGCACTTAGGCTGTCTCCAAATCTTTGGTATTGTAAATAATGCTGCTATGAACATAGGGGTGCATATATTCTTTTGAATTGGTGTTCCGGGATTCCTTGGGTATATTCCCAGAAGTGGAATTGCTAGGTCAAAAGACAGTTCCATTTTTAATTTTGTGAGAAAGCTCCACACTGTTTTCCACAGTGGTTGCACCAGTCTGCATTCCCACCAACAATGGACTAGGGTTCCCTTTTCTTCGCATCCTTTTCAGCACTTGCTGTTTGTTGATTTATTAATGATGGCCATTCTGACAGGTATGAGGTGATATCTCATTGTGGTTTTAATTTGCATCTCTCTGATGGCTAATGATGTTGAGCAGTTTTCCATATGTCCATGGGCCCTTTACATGTCCTCCTTGGAGAAGCGCTCTTTGCCCACTTTTTAATTGGATTGTTTGTTTTCTTGGTATTGAGTCATGAGTTCTTTATACATTTTGGAGATTATTCCTTTGTCCAATGTATCAGTGGCAAATATGTTCTTCCATACAGTAGGTTCCTTTTGCTGATATATTCTTTAGCTGTTCAGACAATTTTTAATTTGATATAGTCTCAATTTGTTAATTTTCTCCTTTGTTTCCAGTGCTGAGGGAGATATATTGGCAAAAAATATTGCTCCACAAGATATCTGAAATTTTACTGCCTATGTATTCTTCTAGGATATTTATGGCATCGCAACTTATATTTAACTCTTTCTCAGTTTGAGTTTATTCTAGTGTATGGTGTAAGATGGTGGACTTTCTTTTTTTTTTTTCTTTTTTTTTTGAAAGCACTAGTCCAGTACTCCCAATACCTTTTATTGAAGAGGCTGTCTTTACTCCATGTATGCTCTTGCTTCTTTTGTTGAATAGTAATTGACACTAAAAGTGTGGGTTTATTTCCGAGCTCTCTATTCTGTTCCATTGGTCTATGTATCTGTTCTTATGTCAGTACCAGACTTTTTGATTACAGTGGCCTTATAGGATAGTTTGATATCAGGTATTATGATCCCTCCAACTTTGTTCTTCTTTCTCAAGATTATGAAAGCTATTCGGGGTCTTTTTTTTTTCTATATAAATTTTTGGAATATTTGTTTGGAATATTTGAAATATGCCATTGGTATTTTTATAGGAATTGCATTGAATCTATAGATTGCTTTGGGTAGTATGTACATTTTAAGGATATTAAGTCTTCCAATCCACAGGATATGCTTTGACTTATTTGTATCTTCCTCAATTTTTCTTCAGTGTCCTATATTTTTCTGAGTTCAGAAAAATGTACCTCCTTGGTTAAATTTATTCCTAGATACCTCATTTTTTTTCTATTGTTGCAATAGTACGAGGATTGTTTTCTTAGTTTCTCTTTCTGATAGTTCATTATTGGTGTATAGAAATGCCATTGATTTCTGAGTATTGATCTTGTATCTTGCAACTTTGTCAAATTCATTTATTAGGTCTAGTAGTTTTTTCGTGAAATCTATACGGTTTTCAATGTACAATATC